AATATATTTTATAATTATACTTTTTATTTGATATTAAAATATTTTTACATTATCTCATATATTTAATAATGTTAAAAATTGATTACTCCGATCGAATCATATCGATCTAATTTAAATTGAATTTATTTAATTATCATATAATAATAAATTAAATTAATTTAAAAATTTTATTAATCAAATAAATTAATTTAATTTAAAAAATATTAAGATTCGAATCAAACCGCATAAACTCCTTAGCAGTAGGTAACTTTTTCACATTTCTACCTTTGTTTCTTCCAATTCGAAAAGTAAATAAGTCCAAGCCAATCACTATTATGAGTCAATTATTACAGCTCTTTTAATAGTAATTAAAACTCTAAAATTCAAACGTGGACAATCTCCATACTTTTTTTTTTCTTTTGTTATTTGGATTGCACAATGGAATCAACAATCTCTCATCTTTTATTTTAATTTAGATACATGATGATATGACTTGAATTCAAGATCTTTTATTTTTAATTAAAAATAATAATAATTAAATTATTTAAGTCATTAACGATAATCTCCATACCTTAATCCTCAATTATATAGTAAAAAAAAAAAAAGGGTGAATAAGTCCATAGATATTAATATTTAATAAGCCTAAATTTAATATCTTAATCCTTAATTATATTGGCCAATTCATTTTCCTTCATCTTCTTTTTATTGTTAGACTGGGAACAGTGGGGAAACTCGGTCAAGTGCCTCAGTGAATGAGACAGAGAAACTGAGTAATTCTTGGAAAACCCTTGATAAGCCTGCTTGCAGATTTTTCAGTGCCACTACTCTTGTTACCTCAACTGCCTTGTCTTCAACTGCCTTGGAAAGCTTCAGAATTTCGTCTTCCATCCGCTTTTGGCAGGCTGCAAGCTCTGATTTCTTATCTGCAAGAGGATCCTGAGCATCTAAAACCTGTCCATTATCAGACCCAGTTTCAGGAACGCTGGTACTTCCCACAGGGTATGAGTTGTATAATTTCCTTTCTATGCTCCGAAGGGATGAAGCCTTCTTCTCAAGCTCCTTTGATACAGTTTCAGTTCGCTTTTTAATCTTCATGAGCTCCCTGGTTTGCTGAACGGATATCTCATGGACAACATTGATAAAGCTCTTGATCGCTTCAGAAGCAACTGTACCAGGAACTCGGTCAAGAGCAAGCTTCCACTCCCACTCGTCACAAAAGCCAAGTACAGTGGAGGGTTCCTTGCTGTCATCAACATTGTTGGTGCTTACAGGGACAAGGGTGAGCTTGAACCAGCCATGGAGGGAACGAATAAAGTCCCTTTGAAACATTATCAAGCAGCAGAAACTAGAGTGCCAGGCAGAGACAGCAGACTCCAGTTCACGGGTTGCCTGCCTATGCAGTTCAGAAGTATAGTCACCATTTCCAAATCTGTTTACGAGGTCAACTTGTTGCAAAATGTGGTTTTGAACTTCGTGGTACTGACGCATTGACCTCCACATGTCCTTGAAGCTGCACTCAATTAAATGAAATGTGTATATAAGGATTAAAGTTAAATAATTCGATCTACCACAACAATTTCAGTATCCAGATATTGCAAGTTGCTCTACAATGATATGTTGGAAATTCAGATTGCCAAGAAAGGAAAGTGGTGCAAATAGAAAATGTCATAAAACCCAATCATGAGGGTAAAGCCAACTTTTACAAATCTCACTTCAATTATCATGTACAGCATCTCTTATCCGCCAACCACTTGTGCGAGCAAGTATGTCTCACTGGTCCGCAACATGGTCTGTTGAAACACTCAATAATAGAGGTGTCCAGCGCCCAACAGCCTCTGAGCAAACTATAATTACCTACCTGTTTGGCAGTAATGTTTTAGCTAGAGCCCCGCCCACCACCACCACAAACTGAGTCACTGACAACAAGGAATACTATAGATCTCCCAACTATTTTATGCCCTAATGATGATGATAATAAGTTGATGAAAAAAACATTGACTACAACTATCATGTCAAGATATTCAGTACTCACTAGTCTAGCTCATCCAGGTCCATCAATCTTGAAAAGAGAACGGTAGGTAGGGATGGGCATTCGGGTGAGTAACCGAAGGGTTACTCAGAAATTGAACCAAAAAATGAATTTGGTTTGGTTTAAATAGTTTTTAAAGTTTATTGTTTTGGTTTTGATATTAATTGAATAAATTTTGATTCGGTTACGAGTGAACCTTTCACAAATTGAAAACCAAAGTGAGCTTCTTGAAAGCTAAAATTTAGATAAATATGATAGAATATGATATAAAATATAATTTATTAGTGAGAAAAAAGCTGATTAATGTTTATTTAGTAAAAATTGAAACTAAACTGATTTTATTAGTAATGAAACTGATCTGTTGGTGAAAATTTTGGTTTAATTTCAATTCTCAAAATTAAAAAAAAAAAATTTGGATTAATTTAAAACCGATTTTGGTTTTAACCAAAACTGGTTTTGCCCACCCCTAATGGTTGGTCCTATGTATGATAGTTAACACTAATTTACCTAGCTCCCAACCTACCGATCTGTGGAGTAGAAAGGATCCATGGATTAAAAGAAATAGTCATGGAGCTAGTGCAGTACTGGGGCCTGTCTCTGATTTTAAAAATATATACAAAAGCAATGGAACAATCCAGTGGAATTTAGGACACGTGCTTACTGAGTGAATAAATCAAGTGGCATACTAGAGCAATAACTCACAACGATTCACCTACCAGATCAGCAGGTTTTACATAAGATAAAAAATCAGGCCAAGATTCACCTCCCCAACTGTAACTCAAAGTCATTAACAGTTTAACAAAAGTTATCATGTGTGCTAATCACCACTGGCGACATAAGATTGAGTGAGTTCATTTGACAATTAATTGAGTGAGTTCTCATCTTAACTAAAAGGGAAGAAGCAGAAGAAACATACCCATGACAGAGTTTTTCAAGCTGAGGAACAAGATCACTGTCTGTAAGACCAATGATTGAAGTTGAGGTGGAGGAGACACACTGAGATTTGACGATAAACAGTGAATGCAATCTTTCTATAGAGGCCTTGCTCTTATCTAGCTTGGTTTTGTCTCCCCCATAGTCCTCTTGACTCCGCAATGCCGATAGCTTCTTATCGTGATCAGTCTTTGCAGCCTCTCTCGCCTACAATCATCAACAATAATCCATCACCACCGCATCACCACAAACAATTTCAAATTTTAAATCAAATGTTTCATGGCATAAACCAAACGCAACAAAATGCTCCCTTTCCTTGTCTAGATAAAATATACAAGCCAACAGTATATTTAATTTAATTTAAAATGGAATAAAATAAACTTGTAATTGAAACTAGGCTCTAAAACGGGTGATATGTATTGGTTTTCATTGCACTTTTCAATAATTATTAAATATAACTATTTTTTTTAAAGCGCAAGATTATTTTTTATGTTTTTTATATTATTTGTCTAATTTCATAATAATTTTTAATCAAAAAATTCTAAATTGATTTAACTATTAAGAGAAATTATTTATAAGAATAAGTATTTTTTATTTTGAATTTATCTTAAATTAATTATTATTTT